GGTCTTAAACCCAGGAATTTCCTTTAATGAGGCCCCCAGTTAAGGTGTTCACCGTCGCATACACTCTCTAATTGAAACTCAATTTCCCGGAAAACTACTGGAAATTTCTTTTAGAGTGAAGAAGGCTTTCGGTTCAAAATAGTTTATTTAACATAAAGCTGGGAAAGAAATGTTGGTTTTCGGTGTTACAGCCATAAGTTTCCCATATTGTTTGGAGCTAGTCGAGGTTTTCATTGTCTCAGACAGTCGCAAATTCAAACGCAATTTCCTGGAAAACTAGAGGAAATTTTTGTTCGAGTCAAGAGGGCTTTTCTGCTGCCCGTATTTCATTTAATCGGGAACGGAAGCGAAAATTTTGGATTTTGGGCTGAAAACTATGAATTTTTTCTGTTCAGTAGCACTCGACAGAGTTTCCACTGTGCCTTTCAAACACTCTCATATTTAAACTCTATTTCCAAGAACACTACGGGAAATTTGCTGTGGCGACCAAAGAGCCTTCCGGCTCCAAAAAGCTTATTTAACCGCCAACCGAGGCAAAAATTCTGGTTTTCTTTCCTAAAACTACGAACTTCCTCTCTTGAGCGGCGCTAGACGCGGTTTACACCTTAGGCACTCCCAAAATTCAAACCCATTTTCCAAACCAACTACTGGAAATTAACTTTAGATTCTACAGAGCTTTTTTGCTAGAAGTCGTGCTCTGAACCAAAAGGAAATTTTGCTTTTGTCCTCAAAACCATGAATTTCTTCCCTTGACTGGTGCGGCACGAGGTTTCCTCTGTCTCAGACACTCTCAAATTCAATCTGAACCTCCGAAGAAACCACTCAGAATAACCGACGGAGTTAAGCGAACTTTTCTGTTTAAAACACGTTAATTAGCAGAAAAATCTTTGTTGAGTGACTAGAGTTTAAGGTGCCTCAGAACTCTAAACTCAATTTTCCGGAAAACTTACTTGTGGAGTCAAGAAGGTTTTATGTGGGCAATTGTCCAATAAATCCGCAACTGATCAAAAATCCAGTTTCAACCCTCAAAAGTCTCGAAAACCATTTGTTCGGATGACTCAACTTCAAACAAATTTTCGGAAAAAACTACTGGAAATTTCCTTTGGGAGCCAAAAGCGTTTTCTGGAGCAAATGTAGTCCATTTCGCTTAAAGTATTTTGGACTGGATGAAGCAAAACATGCCAAAAAACTGCCTCTTGAGCCTGCCACTGGTCAAACGGAACCAAATGGTTCTCTAAGAACCAAGCGACTCTGGCAACCTTGCCAGACTTATCTAGTAGAATAAAATTTAAAGAAAAACCCCAACCATATCGGGATGCTCTAGAGAAACTGCCATAAGAAACAGAATAATATATTTTATTATTAAATTATAGTACAAAATAGTTCCTCTTAATGTACAAACCAGTTGGACCCTTATGCGGTCATCCTAGTACAGTTTAAAAAAATTAGGTCAAACATCGTAAAAATAACACAGAATCTTTTGGCAAATTCACGCTAATCTACATGGAAGTCAATACTTGGATTAATAAATAATTCGGCGACATTGTGGACATTTTACCCAAAAAAACAACAGAAAACAGCTACAGGCATTTACATTTAATACTGCTAGTGTGTAAAAATGGCTAACCAGATGCTTGAAGCTTGCAGGTACTCGAGGCAAAGAAGTGGATCAACGTTTAAATAAATAATGATAATTTATCAGTGTAAATTTGTCTGTTTTTTGCTTGATCGCGAAAGTAAACAAGCAGGAGAGAAGTGGAATTATGCGCTAAGCGATTAGATTACATTGGCACAACCATCACTGTCAGAGCCTAAAATTAGAACCACTTTAGCCCCAAATCAGCAGCTGGATCACTTTCCAAATACCCCGCGCTTCTTCGCCGGCTGGCGCGTTTTGGAACTCTTCAAAATTCGCTGAACTTCGCTCGCATCAGACCCACTTTCATCCGACTGCTTCTTCAGAGGAACCGGAGGCAGGGGGCGATTCGGGGCTCCGAGCGGGGCCCCATGGGGAGCCCCATTCAATTCGATTCTCCCATACAAAGTCTCAGCCGGATAGCCTTGGAATGGAACTCTTCGATACATATCATTGGCGCTGGCCGTTAGGCGGCTGTTCCGCACAAAGTTCTCCTGGCCAGTCATCTGCGAGTGCGCGTTGCGCAGGACTGCAGGGCTTCCTGGGGCTGGCTGCAGCTGCCCCATCAACACCCCACTCTGAACTTTGTCGGCGTCGTGAATCTGCCCGTAAAAGTCGCAGACTTTGTTGCTAACCGACACCTGCCTTGGAGGCTGTCGGAGGTAGTACTCATCCCGGATCCGGGAGTTTTGCTCGGCCACGCTCTGCCTGGAGCTGTAGACGCTCTGGGGAGACACCAAGCGGATGTTGTTCCTTGGGGCCGAGTAGCCCCCAAACTGCCCAAAGATCCCATCGCTCACTATCACTTCCCTACGCACCATTTGCTGGCTGGGCGGCCTCCTAATGGTGTATTGCTGCTCGTCCGCCCCTCTGGGGGCGGCCCCTTGATAGGACACACGGCGCGGCACGTACATCTCCTCCTGTTGCTGCCCTGCCGGCCTCACAGCGTCTATCGGCTGCCCATAGAGCGCCTCCTCATACTTCGGGGAAACACTCTGATTGCCCCTGCCTCCATACCTCTCGCTGAGCTGCCGCTGATGCAAGTACAAATTGTTCGGATTGGGCCGCAGCACATACATAGGCTCCGCCCTTGTGTTGTAGTACAGCTCCTCATTGGGCCTGCTGGGCAGAAACACGTCATCGTCCCCAGCGCTCTGGGGCTTCTCCAGCCGCCGCTGGGGCGGGCTCTGAGTGAAGCCGTTCTTCGTGGGCCACGCTTGCACGGTCTGGGCGCCCGAAAAACTCACTTTCCTCTTCAGCGGGTCTTCCATTTGACTGGGGGGCGTGCTCAGGCTGCCTCGCTTGAATATCGGCCGGTAGAGGCTGTTGGTGTTCGAGTCCAATCGTCTGGGGCTGCTGTCGATGGTGCTGCGCCCTGGCGCGTTGCGCTGGAAGTATTGCTGCTGCTGCTGCTGCTGCTGAAACTGCAGCTGCTGCACGCTGCGGGGCTGCGCCCGATTTATCACCGCTCTGTTCTCAGGGATGGCGCTCGGATAGTAGTTCTCCGGCATGACGCTGGAGGGCGCTGCCCGACTTTCTCTGGGCAAGCTCAGGCTTCTCCTACGGCAAAACAAAAGGCCACTCAATAATGATTGCAGGTGGCCCAAAACGTCCACTTTCTTACCTGGTGCCGTTCCTGCCGGCCAAAGGCGACATGCTTCTCGACCTCCTACCATTGGCGGGGTCCTCTGCATAGCCATAAGGCTGCAGGTGGCCGTAGTGCATCTGCAGCATGTACAGCTCGTAGTTCTCCTTGTCCTTCAGCTTCTTGATCTCCTTCCAATAGTAGGCCTCCACGCTCTTGCGAATGTCCTCCTTCTGGGGCGTGGTTTTGGGAGAGTCGGGCATTTGGGAGCCCGTGGGGGTCGCTGGGCGGAGACTCAAGTTCGTTGGCCTGATTGGGGAGAGCGAAAGGTTTTGGCCGGACATTGACTGGTTGGGGGTTGGGGTTCGATTCAGGGGGGAGTTCATGTGCACCTGCACATCAGTGGTGATTTTTGCGGGCTTTTCGGGGGCCTTGGGGCGCAAAACCACGCTCTCGTTGCTGCTGCGCGACGCCTGGCTGCGCACTGGGGACTTGGAGGACGCCGGAGGTTTCCCCACCAGACTCTCCGGGTAGTCGATGTCAATTTCCAGCCGCTGGTGGCTGGGCGCTGCCTGCTTGGTAGGCGTGGGGGATCGTTTGGGCTTCAGCAGCTCAGTGGCAATCAGCTTATCAGTGCTGACGTTATCCATGGGAATGGGCGACTTAACCCGTGGGGACAAAGGCACGATTTCCCGATTGGGCGGCAGCCTCAGCTTGGAGGCTTCCAGCGGCTCTTTCAACCCTCTTCGATCCACACTATCCAGCACTGTCCCATAGCCGTCTTCCATATAGGGGCGCGGCTGGGGGCTTTTAGGGGTGCTCTGCTGCAATGGCTTCGCCCGGAAGTCCTCCCTGAGGTTCTGGTAGGGGTTGGGGAGCGGTCGTTCCGAATTGATCGGGATCAGGGCCTTGGGGTTGACCAGTCGAACATCCTGCTTGGTTTCAAGCAGGCGGGGCGGAGTGTCTCTTCGGCCATCGGAAATGCGGCCGGGCCTAAAGGAGTTGGTTTGGTAGGTGCGAATCTCCACCTCATCATCGGTGGGTTGGCTTGATCTTGCCAGGCTCTCGTTCTGGTAGATATTCGAGCGATCCGACTCTAAAGTGCTGGCTGATGAGCTGGTGTCGATGTACTTGCGAATGTTCGGGATGTTCATGTAAGGGTCGTTGTTCTGGTAGATTGGCCTCGATTGGGCGTAGCCGTTGGTTGGGGGACTTTTCAGGATGTTTTCCAGGCTTTGCTTGCAGCGATCGAACTCGCTTATCTGCAGCTGGGCAACATCTTCGTCCAGGCTGGGAGACTGGAAGGGTTTTTGCAGCTTGGGCTCGCCTCCAGTGGTATGTCGATGGGGAGCCTCCCTGTTGAAGGCATTCGCCTGGTTCATGTTCTGCAAGTTGTCCCCATTCACGCTGGTTTCGTTCTTGTGCTTCTTCTTCTTGTCTTTATTGCTAAAGACTGAGAAAATCTTGCGGAAGCTGTTGCTGCGCTTCTTCTTGTCCATGGTAAAAGCCGATAGTTCCTTTTCGAACTTGGAAACACTCTCGTCTGAGTCAGAGCGGGTGACGATGCTCACAAACTCCTCCTCGCTTGAGCCGTCGCTCTTCCTATCGAGCACCTCATTAGAATTCACGTCCTTATTCTTGTTCTTCTCCAAGTGCAAACTTAACCGAGCTTTGGTCTGTTCCCTCTTCGAGGGCAGGATGATCTGACTTCTAGTCAACTTAGACCTTCTGGGCTTTGGAACTGGTTGGGACAGCTTTGCATACCCCAATCCAGAGGGCGAGTACTTCGCCTTCAGAGTCTCGACTGACTCTTCAGCTGGCTCCGGTTTTTCATAGTTGCCCTTGATTTTTTCGATGGTGCTGTTCCTGCCAGGCGACAAGCTTCTATGGAGCTTCAAGTAGGCGGTCTTGTTGATGGTGTTCTGGTTGGTTGCAGGGTCGCGCTTGAAGATCAGAATGTCCTCGTCGTAGAGGGGGGTTACAGATTCGGAGCCTTTGAGGTTCGATAGTAGATTGAAGATGGTTTTCGTGTCGGGGTCGGCAGGTTCAGTCGAAACGTTGGCGGCTACAGCCGGTTCGGTGGAGGCCATTTTGGCGGCTCTGGCTCAGGGGTTTATTCACTTCCTCCTGAAATTTAAAGAGGTGTTCGGTTAGGGCTTTTATGTAAAGAGGGCGGTGGCGGTATTTCGGGCTCAAGGGGTCAAGGGTTGATTTAAATGGCTTCAAACGTTTTTTCAAAAGTTTCTCAATATTTCCCAGATTTTTTACCAGAAATGAAGCTTTTGGGGGTTTTAGAGCAGCGTTTGCTCTTTCACATAGTGTAAGAGATGAGTTTGAGATTTGGTAGAGTTTTGCAAATTGATTTTTTTTAAAGCCATCTGCACTATTAGCAGAGGCGTTCAGGCACTTACAGTATTGCTTCAAAAGCCTGCCAAAATTCCGTTGATTTTTTGCGATAAATACAATTTTTCGTAGTTATAAATTGGACTTTTGTCTTTCACGTAGTGTA